CCTCTAAATTTTTGAAATGCCGACAACTATTTCCTCGATGAATAGTTGAATTAGGTAGAGAAAAAAAGTTAAAGTCGTAGGATCTCTCATCACGGAATACCACGACGACACGTGACAAGTCATAGACACAACCAATTTCAAAGCAACCTTGTCCTACTCCTACTCCTAACCCCAAAGACATGCACGCACGATGCGTATTGCTGATTAAGACTTCACTAACCTCACGGTGCCAACATGGCTCACCAGCTTTAATTTGTTAAACAATTTCCCCTAATTAATTTCTTAATTAAGGATTAATTTCTTAATTAAGGATTAATTTCTATTAGTGGATGGTTGGACCACCTTGGTACTCTGCAATGGTATGGGATTAGTTAAATCATGTAAAGGGTGTTTAATTAATTATAATTTGTGGATAATAATATTGTTTACGGGTTACCTACTATCCATCAGATTCCAATCGGATAACATATAATATTTTAACGTCTGATGGGGGGTAGTAGGTAGGTGAGATGGTTATTTGTGAAGAGGATGCATGATTGAATAGTTTAAGTGACTTTTTGCTTAATTAATCAAAGTGGATTAGCGATTGAAATAAGATTCCGTAAGGAATCAGCCACTTAGAATGTGACGAGAACGAATAAGTGGGAGATTAAGAACATGGTTTTTTGGCATAAATCGTTAAAAGCATAGGAAAACTAATAGAAGGTCTCTTACAAAACTTTTTCTAATTGAAAATTAGTTAAACAACATTTTTTATTATTATTAAGAATATTTTTTCTATTACAAAGACAAAAATAAGGAGTCACATTTCATGAGTTTTTTGAATTACAAAAATGTCCTTAATAATACGCAGCATTTTTGCCCATCACTATTAACTTTAGTAGATGCTCACCTCCCTCTTATAACTTGCCATGCGTCCCATTAACTTGCCAGAATCAATTTTACGTGTCAAATATTTGTGAAAACAATTAAAATAAATAAAATAACAATCAAAACAAAACTAAAAACCCCAACATCTCCAACCTAGAAACACCCCGTTCTCCCTTATTTTCGACCCAACAACCACCATCACCCACCCCGACAACGACAACAAACTTCAAATTGTCCGAGTCCTCTACATTCGCCCTGATTTGGTCGAAAATGCTTGGAACCCGATAATCGCCTTAAGATCTTCATGTTGGTGGTGGTGGTTGTTGCCGAAATAGGAGGAGCTCTAGTGGTAGATATGGTTTAGGGACGACTAGTTCTGGTGGTGGTGGTTCTCGCCAAAGGTGAATTTGAATCACGTTAGTGGTATTCCTCTTTACTTGTAAGTGAGAGTTCTTATGTTCGAGTCTTGTCAAAGGTGAATTTGAATCATATTATTACTAGCCCATTATGAAGCTAAGTCCACTTCCTCTCCTTAGTGTAGATAATATCGTTTGTTCAAAAAAAAAAAAAAAAAACTTGAGCTCAGGAATGGTAATCATTGTAACCTTTGTACGTGGAAATAATTTTTAATTAGAGTGAGTAAATTTTTTTTTGGGTGATATCGAATGAAAATGAGCAAGAAATGGTTAAGTCCAACGCGGCTTGTTTTTTTTATTTTTATTTTTTATAAGAAATGCTAAGAAGACTTTTTAAAAAGTGATACTCTTTATAGATTTTCTGTCATTTCATGTTTCTGGCACAATTTTGATACTAATATTATAAAATGTTGTGCCAAAAACATAAAGTAAAAGAAAGTCCATTTAAAGTCCCACTTTAAGAGAGTTTTCTTAGTATTTCTTTTCCCCTTATTTGAGTCTGGCGTACCTAACTAAAAGACAATTTCTAGCCCAAACAATAACATGAATGAATGATTCCGCATTATGCATTGAAATTTGAACACCATTTTCCGGCAGTGAACTTGTCGTTTCAACAAGGGATAATACAAAGATCCTCACCAATGCAGGCATGAAACAACTCGAAGTTTTATCGTAAAATTAATACATTTTATGGAGAGTTGTTTATTTTTTATAAATACGTGCACCATCAATTATCTTCTAGATATGTAATTTATATTTTGATACCATGAAAAAATTGAGGTTTCATTATAAAATCAATTGTAATTGACAATGTAGGGAATAATCCAACATACTTATAAGCTTATGCAAGGTCTGTTTTTCAATCAATATGAGATTCATTGTCAATGTTATTATGCTTAGCACTCCAAAATTTCATTATGCACTATAATTATATTTACATCCCATTTTACGTACTCGACAGAAATAAATGAATGTTTTACTCAATGGAATGTAAGTTAGAAATCTTATTTAATTTTCTCTCTTTCATCAATGGATCCTATCACCAACAAATGTATAAAAGAAATGTAAATGTATGTTTTTATTTACATTATGCTATTAAAGAATTTTTCGACAAAAAAAAAACAACAAAAAAAAACATATAGGGCTTGTTTAGAAAGTGTTTTTAAAAGAATTGAAAACGCTTTTGATGAGAGTATTTTTGAAACCAATTCTTAGTAAAAATGCAATTAAATCTTGCAAAAGCACTTGAAGTGCTTATTGCAAGAAACACAAAGTTAGCTGCTTCTTGCGAGAACCACTTCAAGTGTTTTCAAACCCAAAAAAACTTTTATGAAAATCGATTTTAATCATTTTAAAAATATTTCCAAACAAGTCAGTAAATACTCACTTCAAAGCATTTTGGATCTCCCATACCCTCACCATTAACATTTGCATTAAAAATCGAAAAAATCCCTCACCAAACAGAAAATTGAAGCCGAGTACACCAGCCTCTTCTTGACGTACACGCAAGCTGGTAAACGGTTGAATAAAACCCGTGATTGGATAGGGTCATTTACTGTGGCAGTTACTCGAAATATTCTTTTTTTTTAAATGGCATTTTTGTCACTTAAGCGGGCTTCTGTCAAGTCAAGCTTCAGCCGAAGACCTACTTTGAAACGTTTCCAAGCCTTTCCCTTGACTTGGTGAAACAGCCGAGCCGCCATTAACACCAACCTTCAATAAATTAAATAATTAAGCAAATAAATACATTAAATTAATTTTCTTGTTCGCTGACTGTGGAGAATAATCATTAGCGCCAACCTCCGCGTAACAAAAGCTCAAGGCGCACCAACCAATAGCGTTAGGAGAGAGAAAACTACGCCAGTCCTGGGAGTGATCGGGAAACCGGATGCCCCCGTTGTTTTTGCTTTTATTATTTTTTAAAATATGGATTTAGATCCTAATGATCCTCGCATCCTCACCTTTTATCATATGTCATTCAGTTAAAAATTATTTTAAATTTTATTATTTAAAATGAACCATAAATAACATTTAATGAAAACTAACCACACAATTTACAATGAACATGATGTGAAGATCTCTAAAATTCCTATAAAAATAATCTGAAGAGGATATAATTCTTAAAATATATATATTCTTTAAGAAAACCTGGGGCCGGTCATCTGGGCGCGTGAAACCTGCTGTAACTGCCAGCTATACCCGCTCTGGCACCGCCCACAACTATTTCCTTTCACTGTTCCTCGCTCCCTCCCTCGGCCGAGAAACTTCATTCGCCGCCGGAAAACGGCTTTGTCTCCGGCGCATAGCATCCTTAATCCGCCGGAAAACCGCTGCCTCCTCCTCTCTCCTTCACTTCCTTCACCCTATTTGTATTAATCTCGTTGACTCGGTGGTTCGAAGGCTTCGGATCTCTGATTCCGGCAGCATACGGTGCCGTTTAGGGCGTTTGGCGGGAATGTGGATGGCCTGCGGTTGTGGTGTTTTATCCTTTGTGTGTAGTTGTGAACAAAGACGGAGGCGTACGAAAGGCGACTACGAAACTGCCCTCGGATTTCGTGCGAAGCCGGCAACCAACCGAGGACTAAAACGTCTTTTAAATGATTCTGTGCAACTAGGAAGCTTCACCGATCGCGTACTTGCACTTGGAAATTCAGAAGTCAGTGCTTCTGTTATTCTGAGCCGTCCAAGTCAAGTTGAAGTGACCAGATAAACGGCCACGATTACGCGTACTGTACTTTATTGGACTCGGCTTTTACGCACGTGATAATTCCGTCTTTTCCTTTAACCTTCTGGGGGATCTGACCGAACGGCAACCAGAAACACCTTGATAACACCGTCTTCTTAATTGACCAAAACACCCTTTGCGGTCTAAAGCATTCACACTTGCCTCTTTGATACCCTACCCAACTTCCTATAGTGGGTAATATCGTCATAAAGGGAAAGCGGAAGCTTCCACATAGGCACATACACAGCGAAACGCGAACGGAGATGTGAAAACGCGTTTTGGCCGGCAAGCGTTTGGTTGAACAACCTAACGACCGCCACTTTCGTTTTCCATTGCTCAACAATAAAATACCTGCCGCAACTTTTTTTTTCAATTATTCTCTCGCTTTTTCTTATTATTAAAATTCAATTATTCTAATAGTAAAACTCTGGTACCATAATAATATCGTTTTTTATTTTTTGAGAAAATTAGAGCAAGGTTTTTCAAATTTTGATCAAATTAGAATTTTGATTCATGAATTAAAAATCTATAAGTAATCAATTTATAAATTTGTCATAATGCGAGACAATAATCTTTTTGAGTAAAATCGTTATAAAATTTAACAGAGTTACCAACAAAACTATTACTGTAACAAATTAGAGATGAAAGCTAATGAAATTCTCTCAAAAGTGAGATTCTTCATAGATTTTCAACCACCTAGTACTTTTTTGCATAATATTTTATAATATTGACATAAAAGTTTACGTTAAACTTTCATAAAGAGTTGAACTTTTAAAAACATTCGTCTAATTTAGAAAAAGGAAGTAAAATCCTAAACATACTTGAACTCGTGATTAAGATATTTTAAAAAAAAAAAATTTCTTCCTTTTTTTAATATTTTCCTAAACCAATTGAATTTCCTAGTGGGAACGGGAGAGACTCCGTAAAATTAAATTCAATATTTAAGGCAATTAAAGCGTTTGTATTATTACGGCTATAAAACTATAAATTATCCTTCCCGAGGCCCTTTTTCGGTTTCTTTTGTCCATCCCATTATCTCTCTTCTCTCTTCTCTTTCACTATTCCTCTCTCCCTCCCTTGGCCGGGGAACTTCATTCCCCGCCGGAAAACCGCTTTGTCTCCGGCGAATAGCATCCTTCCTCCGTCGGAAAACCGCTGTCTCGTTCTCTTTCCTTGACGTCCTTCATCCTTTTTTGTATTAATTTCGTTGACTCGGTGGTTCGAAGGCTTTGGATCTCTGATTCCGGCAACAGACGGTACCGTTTTGGACGTTTGGCGGGAATGTGGATGGCCTGGTTCTCGTTGTAGGCTTACTTTTGGTCTGCCGTGGCTGGGATCGTGATCTAGGGTTTCGGTTCTTTGATTCGGATTCGGTTTCTGCGGTTGTGCTGTTTTATCCTTTGTGTGTTGCTGTGAACAAAGACGGAGGCTTACAAAAAGCGACGACGGAATGAGATGGTGCGTTTTGCTTGTTTAATTTGTGGTTTTAGATCTCGTACATTGCTCTCTTTTTTTTGGAACCGTTTCTGCTTCTGAAAAAGTCGTTTTTAAATTTATGTTCTGCATTTATAGAATTTGTGATCGAATGAATGGCTGGAATGTATTTAGGTGTTCATTTTTTTGAGTAAATTTCCATTGTTTTTATTTAGAATTTTATAAATTTTAGTTTTGCTGGTAATTATGCGTTATGTAAAAGTTGCTATTTCGAGAGCATTTATATATATATATATATGTATGTATTTATATAATTATTTTAGATTTTTTGTTTACTTTTCGAGGGGTTTGGATGATGATGTTCATTAATTTGACTGCATACTACGACTGAATAACTGATGAATTTGATTTTTGGCGGGTTTGTAGAAATTTAGGAGTTTTATTTTTCTGTTTGTTGGTTAATTTTTTTTTTTTTTTTTCATTTGAAATTTTTGTACATGAATCTCTTATAAATCGCTGTCGATATCATATTACATAAAGTGGTATGTTGTATTGTTTTATTTGAATGCAAGATGATCACCTATATACTCGTGTATGCGTGCATAACTCTTTCATTTTCCCCAGTTCTGTACCATTTTTGCCTGTAATTTTTAATTGGTGGAATGAATTGATGCTGGTGTTCAGTGGCATATAGGGATTTTAAGTTTTGTTTTTCTTTGGCCGTGATATCGGTATTAGTTGGTTTGATGATTAGTATCATGTTTGTTTGGGGTTGTTCAATATCGTGCAACTCTTACTAACGCAGTAGAATGTCCTTGCTTCTTGTTCCATTGTGTTTCAAAAGAAACATTACAGATATAGCCACGTCATCTCGCCGATGTGTGTTGAACTTTCATTGGCTATGGCTCTGAGTTTGTTCAACATGTTTTAGTTATTGACTTATAGGAAAGAGTAGTGTTAAATGAAGTACGTGTATGAGAGGTAACCATGGCGTTTGGGATGCACTTATGTTTCATTCTTGCTGATTTGGTAGTATTCGAGCTACCCAGATATCGAGTCTGTTTGACAAATTTCGTACAAATGATGCATGCGTGAACTGATTTTCATTTTGCATTTCCCTTTTTATTTATTTATTCAAGTACATGACCTGGCTCTTTGGTTTACAGGTGGAAGGAAGGGTTTGTTTGTCCAAAGAGGCCAAAAATGGATTAGAAATTCTGAAGCGTAGAAGGCTTCAGCGAATGAGACCGGAAACTGCTACCGAGCCTGTAAATCATACTAATACGATGGCTCGAAGTGGAGGTGATGCTTTAAAACCTTCTGTATCCTTTGGTGTTAGATTACAGGGAGGTGCCGACTCAGTTTCTCTGTCAAGTGGTGCTATACATGGAAAAGACGTTTTTTCAAAGCGTAGGGTGGATAAGTTTGAAACAAGTGATCTAGAGTGGATTGAGAAAATTCCCGAGTGTCCTGTATACTATCCAGCAATGGAGGAGTTCGAGGATCCTTTGGTTTATTTACAGAAGATAGCTCCAGAAGCTTCAAAATATGGTAAGGAGATTAAGAAATTTTGTCAAGAGTTTGTTGTTGGTTGGGTTAGGAGAGCTATTATGTCTCCATCTTGGCAATACATCTAAAAACAGTATCACTTGGTTGTAGGTTCAGTTTGGAGTTTTGGTTTCTTTGCCCCCATACAAATTCTGCGTTTTTAATGTTGAAGTTTCTACAATAACCGTTGTTTTTCCGTTTATAAAAATATTTTATTTTCCAATTTAATTGCTCTGTTTTTTTTTTTACTTCATTTGAATTAGAACCTCCTTTCTTGACATACATTGATATTAAAAAGATACGTGATATCATAAATGCTCTTGAAGCACGCACATACACATTGAGTATATACAGTTGTCTTTGTCATTGATGTATGATATTGAATAATGTTATGATTCTCTTCCCTGTTTCTTGTAAGATAGTATTTTCTGGAGAAATACCTTGGATCAACTTTTTTTCCGCATGAGTACAATAATGGAGTCCCCTTGTAGCCATCCAATAAATTTGGGGTGGCATAATGACCAACTTTTCCCATTCTAACCTGCAACGGTATATTCAGGTATATGCAAGATTGTCTCTCCTTTGAGTGCTTCTACTCCAGCTGGGGTTGTATTGATGAGAGAGAAAGCAGGATTCAAGTTCACAACTAGAGTACAACCTCTTCGTCTTGCAGAGTGGGACAATGATGACAAGGTCACCTTTTTCATGAGCGGAAGGTGAGAGATTCTACTAATTATAAATATAAAGTATTACTTGATTATATCTTCGGTTTTTTGAGTGAGTTTAATTTTACAGAAATTATACATTCCGTGATTTCGAGAAAATGGCGAACAAGGTTTTTGCTCGTAGATATTGTAGTACCGGTTCTCTTCCTGCCTCGTTCTTGGAAAAAGAATTTTGGCAAGAAATTTCTTGTGGAAAGACAGAAACTGTTGAGTATGCTTGTGATGTAGATGGTAGTGCCTTTTCATCTTCTCACAGTGATCCTCTTGGAAATAGCAAATGGAATTTAAAGGTGTTGATTCTGCCAATCTTTCTGTCTGTTTAACGATTTAGTAGGTGATTGATATATTTATGTAGGCATTCATTGTTCAGTTCTAAAACTGGCACCTTACAGGACACACAAAAGAACATGTTAGTGTTGTACATCTAATAAGGCCAAAACCAACCCTAACAGTGCAAAACCAAGAAAGAATAAGGATGGAGTGGAAAATTTAAAAGAGCGGATGCTAAGAGTACTGTTGCAAAGTGGCCATTAGGGATGGTATTTTATGAGAGAGAGGGTTTCACCTCGTTCAAATAGATAGGTTATCTTGAATTACATGACTTGTGCTTTTCTCATGTAATTCTCTTTTTCTGACCTCTGTTTTCCTGTTAAACCTTTATATGACCTTTGATATGTAACCCTTAGTTTGCATAAATTCTTAAGAGTAATATTCTAATTTGGTTCACTATATGTGGTGGTATTGACATCAACTGATACCCTCTTTCTCTAATTTCAGAATCTTTCAAGGTTGCCCAAGTCCATTTTGCGTCTTCTAGAAACTGCAATTCCGGTAAGGAAACTAGTTCAGTTCACCCTTTTGCATTATTTATAGTCTGTATCCCTCTGTTACTTATGTGGCTTTATAACAGGGTGTAACGGATCCCATGCTATACATTGGAATGCTATTTAGTATGTTTGCTTGGCATGTGGAGGATCATTATTTGTACAGGTATTAGTCACTATACATGTCACTATTTATTCCCAGTGAAGGCAACAGTGTCTTCCATTTCTTATTTCTAAGAATTATTATCAATTGTGTTCTTATTTTTTATTTATTTCACATGGCAGTATTAATTATCATCATTGTGGCGCATCCAAAACCTGGTATGGCATACCAGGTGAAGCTGCTCTGCAATTTGAAAAGGTTGTTAAGGAACATGTGTACACGCATGATATCATATCAACTGATGGAGAAGATGGGGCATTTGATGTCTTGTTGGGGAAAACAACATTGTTTCCTCCAAATATTTTGTTGGAACATGATGTCCCTGTATACAAGGCTGTGCAAAAGCCAGGAGAGTTTGTTATTACTTTCCCTAGAGCATACCATGCTGGATTCAGTCATGGTAGGGTTTCTACTTCACTTTCTCCCTTCATTTTATTTGCCCTCTTTGTCCATCTTATTTTGCTTGCTTCTCTGACATATTAATTTTAATGCCCTTTTTTAATGTAAATATAGGTTTCAACTGTGGCGAGGCGGTCAACTTTGCAATTGGTGATTGGTTCCCTTTAGGTGCTATTGCTAGCCGGCGTTATGCACTGCTTAACAGGATGCCTCTGCTTCCTCATGAAGAACTTCTGTGTAAAGAAGCGATGCTTCTACACACTAGTTTAGAACTTGAAGATTCATATTATTCATCTGCTGATTTGGTGTCCCATGATAGCATTAAGATGTCTTTTGTGAGATTGATGCGCTTTCAGCATCGTGCTCGTTGGTCTTTAATGAAGTCAGGGGCATGCACCAGTGTTTTGCCAAACTCCTATGGAACCATTCTATGCAGCCTATGCAAGCGTGATTGCTACATAGCTTTCATTAATTGCAATTGTTACATGCATCCCGTCTGCCTTCGCCATGGTATGTCTCCTATTATGTGAATATTTTATATGAAATTTTGAACTACTCACCTCAGACTTGTTATGATAGTGATTGTCCTTGATTGTCCCGCACCTAGTTTAAAATATAAACAGATAGCAAAACAGATCTATTGACTTAAAATCTCTAGTAGTTGCTTATTACGATCTTGTTTCCCAATGCACAGATGTAAGGTCTCTTGACTTCTCATGTGGGACCAATCCTACTCTCTTTTTAAGGGAGGAAATAACAGAATTGGAAGCTGCAGCCAGAAAATTTGAAAAGGACGATGGTGTGTTGGAGGCGATAGAAGGGCTAGGCGATGACTTGTATTCATATCCATTAAATTTGTCTCAGAGCGCTGAAGAGAAAGGATACTCTCGTTATTGTGAGATAAAATTTGAGTTGGACACTGAACTCGCTGGCACAACTCAGTATCAGTCACATGAGGCAGAAACGGCCCAAACGGGTTCTCATGGCCAGCCCATGTTGAGATCTGATGCAAAATTTTCAAGTCCTGCAGTGTCAGACGGTTCCCTTTCATGTGCTGCATCAACTCTTTGTTCTCTTCTAGAGCCTCATGAGAGCTCATCTGCACCCAATAATGTGAGATATAGCTCCTTTTTTATGCCTTCTGTATTTTAATGCTTTATCTAGAGCTCATCTGCAGTAGGTGTAGGACGATTTTTCTTTTTAAACATTCAATGAACTGAAGTGCAATTTTTCGGATTAACTAAAGTGGATTGTTGCATTCATATGTTTCCTGGCAGGTACAGGAAAATGCTAAAGAAACTCTAAATTCTAAAAGGCATTCTGAAGAATTGGTTCGCAGTGTTTACGATTCTTCTCTGTCCTCTCCATCATATGATGAATGTTCTAGTGCACGCCCAGGGAATTCTAATGGATCGGAGGTTAGACGTGTTGTGGATCAAGGCAGTGATGATTCTGATTCAGAGATCTTTAGGGTTAAGCGTCGTTCATCATTGAAGGTGGTGGACAAAAGGAGTGTAAATGATGTCTCGGCATCAAATCATTCTGAAAACAAGGTATTCCTCACGTAGCCCTGTACTTCAGTTTCCGGTGCATGTGATTAGTTATAATGATTGGTTTTCATAGATGGGTAGATCATTAGTCCGTCACTTAATTTAGAAATCGAAGATTTTATCAATAGCATATATTTTTAAATTTCTTTTGATTTTCCTTTAATTATCAGTGCAATGCTTAAAATAAAATGCTGGACTTATCAAATGGAGAACTTAGAATGTTATTCATCAAATACCTGTAATCGACCCAACAGAGGGGAAATCGACCTATGCATGGTTTCTGATGAGGATTTGTTTAATTTGTTTTATTCTGTTTGTATATATTTTGCTGACGTCTGAGCTGTATTTGCAAAAAAACAGGGGTTTAAACGATTGAAGAAAATGCAACCTGAAAGAAGATGCGGGAGATCATCGGTGCCGTTAGATTATTACAGCCCCGGTGAATCAAATACTAAGTTTGTTTCAACTACTAATTACAGAGGATTTCCAGATAGTGCTGCTTTGGAGGGCAGGTTGTCCACAGGAAGTAGCGCTCCTAGAGGAGGTAATGTTCCCATCTCCATCAAGTTTAAGAAGGTGGCCACCGAAGATTCAGCTAGAAAACAGCGAGAACACCACAGAAAGGATAGATACCAGGATGAATTGGGAAGGAGCCGGAGGCAACCACCCCCAATGGAGGTTGGGGCAAAGCGCATTAAAGTCAGAGGCCCGTCGTTCCTAGGGTCGGAGAGCACACTAGGAAGTGCCAACGATCTGGTTGGCCGACCCTGTAGAGAGCAGCAGCAGCAGCAGCGGCATCATAGAACCTGACCTCGCTAACTTGAATTTCTCTAACGGGGTTCTAACAACACGGGTAAAGCTAAAGAAGATGGAAGACGGAAAATTAACCTAGGATAAAGATTTATATTCTTTGTGCAGGCCCTGAAATTGGGGCAATCTGCATTGTTGGTGATTCTTGAGGTTCTCGGGCCGGGGTATTTTTTACCATCTTTGGCAGGAGAACCTTCCTTCCTGCAAACTAGTAGAGATTGGGTTAGTGGTGAATTTCCATGTAAATTTATTTTTATTTTCTTACCTTACCATTGTTAATTCAGAAACTAGTTGGTTTATTCTTCAACTTGTTTAGTTGGTTCGCTGCTTCCTTTTATATAGGTTCCTTATTCTTTTATTTTGTAGCAATGGGTCCTTGTAACCTTTGACTACGTGAATAAAATGCAGAGAAAATGCCTTGTCGTATTATTTCGCTTCTTGTCTAATCTTCTGCCGATTGATATGGGACCGTATAATGGGTTCATATGTAGAAAAATATCATTTGATTTGGAGCTCGTTAAGTCATTTATGTGAATCGAACAAATTGATGGTTTGTCATGGGTATGTTACTTGCCACATCCGTTGATTTGTTTCTCACATATGTTTCTTGATTACCACCAATGAGGAAAGAGGGGGGTGTGTACTTGTAAAAGACGACATTCCGATGCTCAAGTTAGTAAGTGTTTTAGATTTATTCTAGTGAAATTCAGTGTCATTCTGTACCTCGTTTTCGTACATCTTTGTATGTGAGAGGATGGACATTCGTAAGTGTTGGGCTTCAAGTACCATGTCCCTTGAGTAAGGGTGGGATTTTTCGAGATGGTCGTAGAGCTGATGGGCCGGACCCCAGATTGTGTCTAACCTGTGAGGCTTCTTATTAACCATATGTAGTGTCTTTCTAATTAATTAGAGAAAAATTCTATTTGTATTCACTTATAATTAGCTCCTATGTGAGTTGAACTCGAGACTTTCCACTTACGTATTATGATAAATAATCACATTATTTTATTCTTCTCTGTATTAGAGAAATTTATACAAAATATTGGAAAATAAATACAAACGATCACCTAGAATACAAGTATATTAGGAAATAAATCTTGAAAAATAAAAACGTAAATCGACAAGGACCTAGATCTTGTTCCTTCACTTACTATTTAACTTAGAAGTTTTCTAACAAACAATTAGCACCACGGTGTAGTGATAATTTTTATTCACTTAGAAGTGAGAGATTACATATCGGTTCATTTTGATGGCAAAGTTGATACCATTAATGATGGCCCATTAAATAACAAGTTTGATACAATATTATTATATAAAATACACCATTTATTCTTTCGAAAAAAAACACCAATAGTTTTGTTTAGCTAAAGAGACAAATGGTTAATAACTACACAAATTAAGATTTACTTCTAGATGATAAATTCAGGTTTGCTAGGACTCGAGCTAATTGTTTAAGCCTCTTGGGATGATATTTGTCTTTGTTTAGGGTTTTTGCTTGGGCTTTGGGCCCCTTTGTAACAAAAAAAAGAAAATACACGGGCTGGTATGAACATTTGTTTCATTTCGATATGAAGGCTTGTAAGAATCTAATCTATTATATATAAAGCTAATGAAAAGTGAATAGTGATTTTGGTGTCATTAAGCTTTAAGAAAAATATTTGAACAATAATGCCCCCAAGACAAAAATTTCAATGGCATCCCAAAATAATACATCAAATGAGGCAGGGGCATTTCGTCATTTTAATAGCATTTTTTTTACTATTTAATTTTTTGTTACAATTTTTTTAATATTATTTTTTATTTTAATTAGTGCCTCATAATAGGTTAACAATAATGTGATTCAATTCTCTATTTTTAAACACGTTCAAAACATCTTAAGAGGCATGTAATACTGGTTATAAAAAATGATTTTCGCACGCGGATAATAATATGATTAAATAAGTTGTCAATGATTGTTTTTTTTTTTTTTAACAAACGATATTATCTACACTAAGGGGGAGGGAATGGGCTTAGCCTCATAATGGCCTAGCAATAATGTGATTCAATTAGTTGTTTATGAAATGTTATTTTCTCTATTTTTAAACACATTCGTAACATCTTAAGAGGCGTGTAATGTTGGTTATAAAAAAAGGTCTTTCACATGCGGATAATAATGTGATTAAATTAATTGTCAAATGATTGTTTTTTTTAACAAACGATATTATCTACACTAAGAGGGAGGTGGTGGGCTCAGCCTTATAATGGGTTAGCAATAATGTGATTCAATCAATTGTTTATTAAATATTATTTTCTCTATTCTTAATGTAAATTCTATAGAGATCGATTTTATTATGTGAATTCAGTTGCTTTAATTGGTTTATGAGGGGTTTCTTCTAGCATGTTCTAAAATTATTCATTTACTTCAAATATTTGACTTTCCTTTTGTCAATTTACGCATATAAATACATTTAAAATGTGTAAATTGCGCGTAGCAAGCCGTGATTCAAAAAATGTTTTCTGCACGTGCATGAGCGTGTGCATGAAGGCTAGTTAAGAATAATGATATTTGTGACTCCCATCTACCCTTGTAAAAGCATCTTCAGTGTGAGACGCAAAATGCTTTTGATATGGACATTCTATATTTTTTGTTGGCTGGAAAACTGTTTAGTGGACAAATTTTAAGGAATGTAAAATAAGTATTTTGGCTGAAAATTTTAATTTTATACCATTTTTCTAAGGAGAGCTATTTTTACACACCTTTTTTAGCTGTTCACAAACCCTTATTTATTTAAGATCATTATATTGAATAAATCAAATGGAATCAACGACCTGGATTAAACACGGGCGTGTAAGAGGCTAAAAATGGTATGTGAAAAGCATTTCTCCTGTTTAAATATTTAGGAGGTGGGCCTCGTCAATTAAAAAAGAGAAAAGTAAATGAGATTCTAAATTAACATCTTCCCCATTAAAGTAGAATTCACATTTTACATCTCCTAAAAACAAAAAACAAATGTAACTAAGATGTAAATGTGATTATATATCTTAAATTTGCATCTCAGTTGAAGATGCTCTCATAGAGATGGACCTTAGTTATGTATGTCGAACACACTAAATTAAAGAAGCGGTCCGTAAGTTTGTCAATACATTGTGTCTTAATAGCAACGCCTTAATGTTGTTTGAGTCTTTATTTTATTTTATTTTAATACAATGATAGGGTGGATGATTTCTGCTAATTCACCAAATGGGTCATCAATGATTGGGTATCGAACTTTGTTAGAATATGAGCATAATTAAGTCTAAGTGCTTTAGGCCGATTGTGTCATTCAATAAGATATGATTATTGTTAAACAAAGAGCCTATTATTAATTGAGCTTTTTGACAGAGAGGAGAATAATTGTTGTTAATTTGGTTCGATCATGTGTCTTCATCTTCATCGATCTCTAAAGCTTTGGTTCTAGTTCGTTCTTTGTTCATGTTATAGCATGAATGATTATTGTAGTTTTGATTTATTGACTTAATCTTCATCTTATGAAAGCTATTTCGATCTTACAAGTTAGTCATGTATGGAAGTTGAATTTAAAACCTCTAATTTATAAATAGAGAAAAATACTAGTATAGTGTAGTATGAAGTGACATTGATTGAGTTGAAACCAAATATATTATTTGATGAGTGCTCTCCAATTAGGTGGAAAACCTCCAATTCTTCTGTACGTACCTCGACCACTTTGACAAATTCTTCCATCTGAAACTCGGAAGTAAAGGACCATGGAGATGATATGAAAGGGGGTAGGGTTTATATGGCGGTAGTGGTAGACCTTAATGTAAGATGAGTGAAGTATGTGAATTTATTGTGTTGCGGTCGCACAGATACGTGATCCAGATGTCAGACTCCATAATTTCTCTTGATGAAGGCACCCTATTCAAGTTTGATTGGAGCCCTCAAAAGTTTAGTGGAATGGTGGAAAGTGAAACAAGAAAATGTAAACATGTAGAACACTTAAATAAAATAATAAAAAAAGGGTTAATGGGTTCTTGTCAAAATCTTAAATATGTCTTTCATTCACCAATCTATCTAGATTTGTAGGGCAACTTCTCTAATTTCGCCTTTGCTCTAAGTCGTCGGGAAAGATTCAAAATGTTTCCTCTTTTTCTTAGTTTGCATCACATCGACTATAGAAACGGGATGTTATACCAATATTAAAGAGGCTGGCTAGTTACTATAGGGACTGATCATATTCCTTGTTGATGTTTTCATTTTCCAAAGAATATCTGTTTCAAATTAGACAAACCAATTGGCACCCTCCTTTTTCAAGGTATTATTTATGGTCACACACGCGCATATATATATAGGCCCTTTAAGGGAAGGGATCTTTATTTTTTCAAAAAAAATAGGGACACCCTCTTGACCATTAGATTTGACTTTAATGAAATTCTATGACTGAGATTAAATCATAGGCCACAGAATCTCAACCATAGGATTTCATTAAAACCAAATTTAATAGTTAAGAGGATGTCCCCATTTTTTTTTTTTTTTGAAAAATGGGGATCCCTTCCCTTAAAGGCTTCCTACACACACACACACACACACACACACACACACACACACACATATATACATACATATATAGATATATAGATATGTATATATACATATACATGCCTTTTATCTGAAGGGATCTCCATTTTTTCGTAAAATGGGGACTAGTTGTGAGGTCCACACAACATCGAACTTCAACGATCCAAACTGTCTATTTTTCTAGTTGCACTTTATAGATTATTATCCTTACAAAATATTAGCCAAATCGAAAATGTTTGAGAAATCTAATTGAGTTCAAAGATATTGACCAACACTATGTTCTAAGAAACTTTGAAATTTCATCATGACAATCAAATGAGTAGATGATTTCAGATTGAATTTACATTTTGTAAAGATGACCCATGAATGATGAAGACTTAAAAAATGAACGGTTTGGATTGTTGAAGTTTGATGTGGTGTAGGCCCCACAACTAATCCTCATTTTTACCAGAAAATGGGGATCCCTATAGATAAAGGCTCTATACATACATACATACATACATACATACATACATACATACATACATATGTGTGTGTGCATACTTGCATGGAAAGATTATTATCATAGTCTCCACTATATTTGTACACTTTTGATTTTAATAATGTTGCAACTTTGTCGGCATAATGCTGAGAAACATCTTTTGATGATAGCTTGCAAAGAGAATCATCTCTTAGGCTTGACCAAATCCACTTAGTCTTTCAAATTTCAGAAGAGATCGAATCTTACTAAATTTGTTTTTGTCCTTGAAAACATATTAATTTGGTAATTAACTCGTTGCCAAATCCAACCTGTATTAGTGGAAAGAGATGAGATAGAGACATAATCCTGGAGCTAGATGCTTGCAGCTAAAATATTCAATCATATTATGCAGTA